GCATGTGCTTTTCCTTACAAGAAAAATACTATGAGATGAACAAGTAGAAAAGCATTTCTTCAAGCTCTCAGTGATAACCAGGGAGTTTATGTGGGCACATCAGTCACCTTTGGGGTTGCTGTGTACAATGAAATTTATAATCGTGATACTCTTGGGTGGTAGTTTTAAGACACTACTAATACGCAGAAAGCGCTCCAGCTCTTGCTGGCAACTACTGTTTAACAGTCATTCAAATCTGTGATAATGGTTGGAAGTGGGTGGGATTATGAAATTGTAGTTTTTAGAAAAACTTGTGAATGAAAATGAATCCAAGTGTTTCATGTGAAGATGTTGAGCCATTTCTATCATGCATTCCTGTCTCATGGCAGAAAATTTTGAAGATTAAAAAATAAAATAATCAAAATGTTTCATTTGTCTCTCTAAATGTACCTTAAACTCTTTCTTCATTTATATTGCTAGTTGCCATGACTGTCCCCTTTTTAGAAAACATGACAATTATTAGTTGATCACAGTTGCTATTACGGATACAACCATTCTGGTAGTAGTAAACTCCATCTCATAATATTAGAGGAAATTACTTCTGATTTATGCTTCCATTTAATAAGGAAATAGCTTCATTTTAATTTACTTCCTGTCTATACTTTCTCTAATGTTTACCATTGGATAATCCTAGTGATCCTGATTCCACTGCCTCCCAGTATTAGCCTTTGTGAAATCCTTGAACTCAGTAGGACCCTATATCCCAATTTCTCCATCTCTCCCATGTTGCTTAGTGACAAAGGATCCCGTGCACACCACAACCATAAATTGGCTGCTACATACTTTCTTTTTGAAGAGTTAGATTATTCCATCTATTCCCCAGCTTTATAATCAAGGAAATGACAGGGTATTCATCATTACCTTATTCACCTTTGGTGACTGACAGAGTCACTCACATATACAGGTATACCTCGCTTTATTGCACATTGCAGATGTTTTTTGTTTTCTTTACAAATGGAAGGTTTAGCACCCCTGCATCAAACAGATCTATCAGCACAATATTCCAATAGGTTCAGATGATGCTTAGCATTTTTTAATTAGGTATCATCTTTTTATACGTATTGCTATTGTACACTTAGACTACAGTATAGTGTAAACATAACTTTTGTATGTACTGGGAAACCAAAAAATTCATGTGTCTCGCTTTACTACAGTGGTCTGGAACCAAACCTTCAGCACCTCCACGGTCTGCCCATACGAACTGACCCATGAGAGCTGTCCTGGAGTAGGAGTTTCTCTGTCACCAATTCTGAAACAAAATGGCTGGACACCAGACAAACCCACTTAGACAGTGTGACTGAGGTGCTGGTAATACTGCTAGAAGAAATTAGGTTTCCAGCTTAAAGCTGGAACTAAAAGGAAGCAGAGTAAAGAGAACATGTTTAGGACAAAGAAGACAGGCTGAAGAGCAGCCCCTGTGCGGCCAAGCATGCCCAAGCACCCTGGTTCATTTAGTGATGGGGCGGGGGGTTAGTTACCCTGTAGGCCGGGAGGTGGTTGGGAAGATTTCATAACTGACCGTGTTCACTTACCTAGGTAAGGGCCACGCCAGGACTTCATGTTTTATAGCTTTAAAGCTCACTCTTCTTCCACTCATAGTGGGAGGAAGACTTTCTTTAGAAACAGGTAGCAAGCGGGAAAGGATGAGGGTACAGATTCACAGGTTTGGGGAAGATAAGCGAAACAGCAGAGGGTCTGTCAGTCTCAAGCCTCAGGGTCACCTTTTCCAAAGGAAACCTGAATTTCTACTCTGCCTGCATTAACAGGCCTGTACAATAACCTTAAATGCTCTGGTAAAGAAGATAAAGGGGGAAAAGAAGTAATCCCAAATTGAGTAAAGAAAGCCTGTCTCCTAGAAATGGCAGTGTGTTTCGTTTCTGTACCTATGGGTGGCATCCTCAGGAGACCAGGGCTCACTGAACACATTATTATTGGGTCCTTTTTTTTTTTTTTTACTTCATCTATCCAGAGTCTGGCAGAAAATCTCGATTACCACTTCTATATCTCAAAGGACAAAAACATGAAAAAATGGGCAAAACCAAAAAACAACCAAAGTACCCTAAAATATGGTATATCCATATAACTAAATGCTATTCAATGATAAGAGCTAACACTTAACGTGCTTTACGTGCAGCCCCATTATCTCCATTTTACAGAGAAGGCAGGTTACACTATAAGCAAGTAGTTGCACCAAGATTTGAAGCCAGGTCCTGCTAGTGCAAAGACGTTTGCTGTAAGACAATAAGCTAGTGATTACTACCGGAAAGAATAGAATGATTCCGCTCCTGTAGGAAGGATTGCAGACCAGCATAAAGAAGAACTACAGAAAGTGATGAGGCTTTGCAAAAGGCAGTTTGGGGCTCTGAACCGTGTCACAAAATCGAAGGGACCTGCTTGTGCACAAGTCCCCTCCTTCCACCCCTTCAGCCAAGTGCAGAGCAGAGGAGCTCCCAGCCTAATCTCACATTCTGACACTGGCTGCCAGTGACTGCCCGCCCTTCCTGCCTTTGTTGGCCAGAGTTGCACATGAGTACCAAATCCTTACTGCTCCGTTTAAACCTATTTGTACAGAGATTCTGCTTCCTTATTTTCCAACTTTTGAGCAATTTCCATTTCACACAAAAAGCATGGCAGCTCCTGTCAGTGGCCAAGTGCTTTTCCCACACTGCCTCATTCCCCATCTCACTGCCAGTGGCAAGCCTGGAGGTTCTCCCAGCCCCACACTTGGCTTTGGTCTTGCATCTCCTCCCCCTCAGCAATGTAAACACATAATCCTAAAAACAGATTTCATGAGGGAGCCATCCATTGACAGATGAATATGGATAACTGCTGGTGCTGATGACATCACAGTTTACTTTAACTAGTTCTCACTAGAGGAACTGAAAAGGGTCGCTAAAAAAAGGGGGGGCGGGGAATTGTTAAAAGAAATGACCTCCAAGAGGAAAAATAACTTCAATAAGAAGCAAAACCCCCATACCTGGTCATCCTGTTTCATTCTTGATAGTCACATAGTCACCAAGCCAGAATCCTTCCTGGGAGAGGTCACGGTACTGCAGCCTGCCTCTGCACGGGCTGTCCATGTAGCCGACAGTGGGTGGGGACCTTGGAAACCTGGGCAGAAGCAAGGGAACAGAAGCTGACATTCTCTTACCAGATCAATGGTAGAACTACTTCACTTAACATAGCTGTCATTCAGATGCCCAGGCAAGGCAGGTCCTCCTCCTCCTGCAGACTTCAGTCTCTACAATAAAAACGTATAGTGCTGCCAACAGTTTCAAAGTGGCAGCCAGTCTGAATCCTGGGGAGTAAGTCATCCATTGATGAGGCCTATACAAACCTATCTCGTGCAAGGAACCATGCTGGGCCCCACAGGCAATCCAATGATGACTAAGATACAGCCCCTGCCTTCAGGGAGCATGTAACCTAGAAAGGTGGGAAAAACAACCTTTCTAATTTCCCTCAAAATTCGAAAATTATCACTACGTGCTAATAAATAGTGTATGATTTGAAATGTGAAAAGCAAATATTCCTATTGAGGAATCATGGATTGGTCATCTATTGGAATCACCCATCCACTGCTTAAATTCTATAACAGATAACATCCAAAAGGTTAAATTTTGATATTTAAAAAATAGTGTGGAACCCATACAATGGAATACTACTGCCTAATGAAAACGAACAAACTATTGATATATACAAGCTTGGATAAAGCTCAGGGTACAGAAAGTCAATTTTGAAAGTTTACCAGCTGTACATTTCAAACACTTATATAACACTAGAGTCCCGGTGCACGAAATTCGTGCAAGGGGCTGGTCCCTCACAGCCCCGGCTTCGTCTGGAAGGTCGTTCGGCTGTCCGGTCTAATTAGCATATTTCGCTTTTATTATAGTTTCTCAACATGACAAAACTATATAGAACAGACTAGTGGTTGCCAGAGGACGGTACGGAGGGGAGGGGATGTCACTATTAAGGGGAAGCACAAGGGGGTTTCTTTGTGGTGATGAAGTCTGTCTCTTGGTTAGGAGGGTGGTTACATGAATATATACATGGGATTAAATTGCACAGAACTACACACATGAACATAAAAAGGATGGAAATTCAGAAAGGTCTGTAGTGTAGATTAGTGTATTATATCAACATCAATTTTAACTTACACATTATATAAGATGTGACTATATTTGGGGGGAGAGAAGCTGAGGGAGGGGGTTCACCAGATTCTACTATTTTTCAAACTTCCTATGAATCTATAATTATTTCAAAATGACAAATTTAAAAAGATATAAACACTTTACCTTCCCTTTATGTTTTTGAAGGGAAAGTGGAAAAGAAAATGGGTCTTAATACAACAAAATTTTAATACAATTTCTATCCATGTGCACTTCAGGTACAAATTGTGAAAGTGGGTGCTCTCCACGGCTTTTCCAGCCGCCACTCTGCTGCCATGCGTGTCTGTGAGAGAATTCTGAGCTGGAGTGGGCATGAAGAAGCCCAGGCAAGGGAGCGGTGCTGGTCAGAGGTGTGGTTGTTCAGTTCAGCTTGAGAGCAGGGCAAGAGACAGCCTGGAGGCACGGAGAACTCACCTGCTAGTCCCCCTCCCCTTGAGGCACCTGCTGCATAATTCACGTGGGAGATGGCCTCTGCGTATCCTCGCCCTTTGCTCAGGCACTGTCCCCTTCTCCCTCTTTATTCTTTTGCTATTTTTTTATTGTTTAAAGTACTATAAATAGTACATATGTCTCCTTTTTCCCTCACTGACCTCCCCTCTACCCCCTAGCCTCCAGCACATGCCCTCCCCCCCACCCCCAGTGTCTGTGTCCATTGGTTATGCCTATATGCATGCATCAACTGATGAACAAGGATAAGAGACAAAGAAGCATCGAACAGACTGTCAAACTAAGGCGGGATGGCAGGGAAGGGTTTGGGGGGAGGGGTAAGAGATCAACCCTTCTCCCTCTTTCTGACTGGTCAGTGTCATTGGATCACTCCCTTTCTTGGAAACCCCTCCAGAAGCCACCCTCTGCTGCCTTTCCTCGGATGCTTGGGCTGAATCACCTCCCCTTATCCAGAATTTATAAAATGACAAGAAAAAGAATTCCACTCTTTAGCACGGCCCTCATGAAATTGCTGCAGGGTTGAGATTAGGTGATCAGGCTCTCTCCCGTGAGAGTGACAAGCCCTCGGGCTTCACCGGCAGAATCTATTTTTGCGTGGCCTACTGTTTGCCAGGCTTTGACATTTCCATTTGGAAGATGAATTAATTCTGAGCTGAGCCAAGTGTCCTCTTTTGGAAGATGTGTTAAGACTCAGGCCCTCGCAGGACACTGGAGCATCCGTGAGACCCTATCCCTTTCTCACATGATGACGGGTCAGCCTTCCTGGGGGGCAAGTGAGGAATCTGACATGAACTAAGGGGCTGCAACGAAAAAGGTATTTTTCACTGTGGGCTTAGGCACCACCTGTGCTATCCCCAGGCCCCATCTCCCTGATCACAGTCTGAAAGAAGGGAATAAGGCCCTTGCTTACCAAGGGCATTTGGTCCACATGGGAGACATCCTGGCGAGCTCATGGGCTCCGCCTGGCCCTGTCTGTGAGGGCCCAGCGTGAGAGAAGACATTAGCTGTCCCTGCATCAGAGCACGGGGAAGGCTGCCCCTCCAGATGACTGGCTGGGGCCTCCAACACAATAAACAATGTTTGCTCTGGAAGCGATGAGCAGTGCAACAAATTGTTAGGAAAGCCTGCAGATGGCTCCATTAATAAAGCTGCCATCCACAGCTGCCAAAGCTGAAGTAGTTTCTATGGGAAACCCTCACATTAAAATAGAAGGAAGTTCTTTTAAATTATAGTAATTACATTTTCATTAAACATTATCAAAGTTAAACACGGGGATCTGTCTGGGAGGGCACTCATCATTCTGAGCTCTGAAGGCCAGGGAGAGCATCACCTCTCTCTGGTCCCTGACACAGACTCTGACACAGCGATTACAGAATGGATGGTTTGTGCCATAGGGTTACTGGTGGTAAAAATGGGGCAAGTCCCGTCTCAAGTAACCCAGATCTGTCCATGGAAAAGCCCTGTGGAAAGGACAACAGGGCACCTGGTAGTCCATAAGGGAAGAAAGCAGAACTTGTGGGAAGCCAGAGATGGCCCAGGGTACTCAGAAGACTTCAAGACCCAGCCCCAAAGTGGCCAGGTTGGCAGGCAGCACTAGGAACCCCAAGGCCCAAACTGCTCTTGGGGATGAAGCTTGAGGCATGACTGTCTTCACCAGGGGAGCCAGTCTGCCCCTTCTGTTTTCGGTGGCATCTGGCCCAGACCCGGATCCCAGTGAGATTCTTCTGGGCCCAGAGCACAGCACAGAGCTCTGCAAAGACCAGCAAGTGTCCCCACCACACACGCACATCCCAAGATAAATAAATAAGGGTGGAGTCAGCACCTCTGGCCTCTGTCCAGACCTGGAGCTGAAGAGAGCCCATCTCCCTCCCTACCTCCCCAGCTCCCGGGGTTGGGACGGTCCACCTTGATGAACCCTGGGTTGACGTCTCGGTTGCAACACACCCCAACCATAATCACTCAGGAAAATAAATAGAAAAAATATGCTGGATGACAAGGTATAGTAAATCCTACAGCAGGGGCACTGAGCTTTCTCCCACTGTTCTCCCCACACCTCCTGCTATGGCCACTATACAGAAACCTGGGAATGCTGACCCTCAGGAGACTGAGGCTGCAGAGAGGCCCAGATGAGGACGCTGACCCCTCACCCGGCAATAGTAAGGCCACCCAATCCCAAGGCATAAGGCTCAGGGGCAGCCTAAGGCTCAGGCAGCTAGACCACGTTATCACAGAGGGCAGCACACTCACCTCCTCACCCGCCAGGTCCTCAGCTCCCTACGACCTGCCCAAGCCGGCCTGGGCTGGGCGGTGACCACTCCTGAGCTCCCATGGCCATAGGACATGTTTTTGCAAGTTACACACCCTGCCCTAACCATCAGCAGTGACCGCTTACCCCAGCCTTCCTGCTGCAGTTGCGGCCCACTTCCTCTGGCACGGCACTTCCTGATACTCAATGAACAGGGTCCGACTAAGGGAGACACATACATATACATGGGCAGACACATCCATATATAAACCGATTTTCCAAATGACTGTTGCTTCAAGAGGACAAGAATCCAGGAGAAAAGGGAACAGACACCAAGTATAAACAAAGGCCCTTCTGTGTGACTCCAATTAGAATGACAACCAATTGAAAACAATTTAATGTTGGTTCATGAAAGGTTAATGAAATTCATGTTTTGAAGATGCAGAATGCAACACGGATATAGCCAGAAACACATTTCTAACCTTCATTCTCTTTAATTATTCGGTCAGAATAATTTCCCGAGAGCAGTTTTAGTCTCTGGATGGCTTTAATTAAACACCACTGAACTTTAAGTTAACATCAACTCATCCAGCTACAACTCAATTTTCAAATTAACCTGCTATCTAACATGAGGGTTTTGTGGCCTAAGCAGGGGTGTGGTGGGGGAGGGGAAGATGGGCATGGAGCCTGACAGGTATTCACCAATTCTAGAACATTTTCCATCTTCCCCCACCCTCTCCAGTGGCCAGGAACTTCAGTCACCTGTCGCTAGCCTCTCTAAAGACAGAGGCTGAGGCTGAGCCGGCAACCAAGCCGACCCCTTCCTTGGACTTTCCCGTAGTCCTGGGCTCTGGCTCCATTCTCCCCAACACCTTCGGCATAAGCCTGGTACAACCAGACCCTCCAAGTGAGTCCAGGGCCAGCAGACCCCTGCCCCAGCGCCTCCACTCTCCTCTTGCCTACCTGCCCTCTTCCCACTTCTCTCCCTCCCCTTCAGTGCTGAAATGTGTCAAGAGCCCTGGCTCAGCAATCCTGCCTGACTAGGTGCCCTCAGGAAAGACCCCTATTTTCTGAGCTGACTGGCACTTCACCCAGGCCCCAGGTATCTGCCTCACTCCTTTTCTGCCTTTGAAAACCAAGGTTCCTGCTTTTGTCAGTTGCATTTCGTAGCCGTACCAAGGCCCTTTTGCAATGAGTTTCTGCTTCTTTCTAAAACCTTTTTGCCTGCTGACTGGGAGGCTGCCCTAACATTTCCCACAGCTTGGGGCAGCTTCAGCCAACTTCCATCAGAATGTGATATTTGAAGTTGGCAAAGAGTCTAATCTACCTAGCACATGTTGGGCCACGTGAAGGACCTGTACTTTGGCCCTGAGGTACAGCCACGTGACCGTGACAAAGCTTCATGTCAAAGGCAAGGTCAGGGCAAGAAAACGCATGATGTTGCAGGAGGGCTGTTAGCACTCAAGGAAAGAAGTATTATCTAAAGAATGCTATTCCCAGCCACTCTGCCTGACCTTTTCCAGTAGTACCTGCAGCAGCTTTCCTGGAAATCAGCTCTAGCACTCCGGACCCTGAGCAATAAGCAGCATCCGGTCTCGGTCTATCCAAGACATCCTGCAGCAGCACAGCACCTGTGCACCTGGAGTCAAGAGTCCTAATGAAACTCACGCAAGTGACAGCTGCTGACGGCAGAGGAGACTGCGGATGACCCATCTGCTCCAACACTAGCTTGCAAGGTGGCTGAGTCACCCCAGTTGCTCTGTTCAAGTCATGAGAGCAAGGTCAGCTGATGCTGCCCTCCCAACCATGAGGGTACGCCCCCTACAGCCAAGGTGCACGTTTCCCAGAAGAGAATCCACAGCCACACTCCCCCACCCACATCTACCCAGAGGCAGCCTGTCCTAAGGTAACCAAAACCCATCCATCCCAAGGAGTTCCCGAAAGGGAAGGGCAAGGGATAACAGTGAAATTGCTCTGTAACAAGAAAGGTTCCTAACCAAATGTTTTACTAATCCTAAGAGACAAGAGACACCCTAAATAGGACCTAAAGATTTTTTAACTTTTAAAAATAATATTTAATTTTGAAATAGAGTGCTTGCTTATAGGGCAAAGGTATCTGACTCATCTTTGAGTCCCCAGCACCTGGTAGTATGTGTTTTTGCACTAACTAAATATCTGAAAGCAGCAGAGCATTAGGGGACTCTTTGATGACCATGAGTCAGAGGGGCCCTAGACAACCAAGGATGACAGCCAACGCACCTGCGAGAGGAGCACTAAGGACAGTGCCCCACTTCTCAACCAACCCGCCATGGGCAGTCTTTGGTGATAGATTAGAGTGATCCAACCCAGGATATGTGCAGTCAAATGTCAAATAAATGTACTAAATCACTGGGGCCAGATAGTATCTGAATTTCTAAGCAATCAATCACCATTGCCCCTGGTATATCCTCTAGCTATGGAAGATCAATGAGCCAGAAAGCCGGGCAGCCTGCCCATAGCCACACTCACAGAGAGGAGAAAAAGTATATAAATCAAAGCCAGCCGGCCAGTATTACAATAGTCACTACGACCCTCACCCTGACATTGATAGCTTCACACCAAAGTCACACTAGATGAGGAGCCTGGAAGGAGAAGGACAGTTGGAACCTGAAAGGGCATCTGCTGACAGAGAAAACAAATGATGAATAAGAAAGAACGTCAAAGTAGCCATTTGCAACCTTTCTTACTTTTGTGCACCCTAAAGAATTTTGAAAATCTTTGTGTAGCCTTTTGCATATGCAAGTTTAACAACTAAAACCTTTCACTGTAAGTTGAAATAGTTGCACGGAGTAGTTTCTGGTGTATTATAGATAAGGGCTTAAACTATGAAGTCACAATCACCTTGTCCCAAAGGTAATCTTTGTGAGGCCCAACTGCGCTTGGGTTCTGGGACATCCCCCTTTCTGCACAGGCTGGTTCTAATGAGTTTCTGGAACCTGCAAACAGAAGAAGTTTGGCTCAGAGAAGTCAGCAGAGACTGTTCCTGAGGAAGGCAGCAGATGGACCAAGGACATTAATGGCACTATCAAAAGGACCTGGACACAAGTGGGAAAAGTACATGAGTAGACAGTTGACAAAAAAAAAAAAGAAAACTTACCTTTAAAAATAAAAAGATTTTTTTGAAGTAAGAATAAATTTTAAATAAAAGAAAGATATTCAACATCACTAATTTCAATAGGAAGGCACTTTAAACCAAAGGAATTTTATCACTTACCAGACTGGCAAAGAAGAGGGCGAGCAGGCACTCCCCTCATGGCCTGACAGGAACATACATCAGCACCATCGCTTTGGTGAGGAATAGCTATCACAATGGGGGATGCACATTCTCTAGAAGTCTCACTTCTAGAAATGACTCTACAAATATATTCAGTAATATAAAAAATGACAAAAAGATTATACATTAAAGGAGGCTTATAAAAGCAAAAAAGATACGACTAAATAACCATCAAAAGTTAAATAAACCACGGTATATTCATAAAATGGAACACGATGCAGAAAAATAAAGCAGAGAACAATCGCCAGACTGTGAGTATTAAGAATGTTCAATGCCACTTGGGCAAAAACAAAACAGGCAGCGAAGGAAAATGCATCTGAGCTGTGAATAGAACACACCTGAGTGTAAGCAGAGGCACGGGGCTGGAGACAATGTAAGGTCCGCACGGAAAGCATCTTGTGTGTCAGGAAGTGAAAAAAAGCTCAGAGACTGGCAGGGGCATGTCACCAGGACACAGAAACCAAATTTGAGCTGAATTTGAGCATCAGAATGATAACTACAGAGATGGTTATTACATTGAATGAGAAAATTACATTAAAACTTTTTAAAAGCGGGGTACTCATCTTCACAGAAAAATATCAACATTGCAGAAGAAATGACAGAATAGAAAGTCACTTTTTAAAACCATCTTAAAAATAAATGACTCAGGTCAGGGGACAAGAAGAGATAAAACAAAGAACTTGTATACTTCTATGCATAACCCAAAGACAACAATAGGTTGGTGAAGACCTGGGGGGTGGGGAAGGACTGGGCAGAGGGGGAGGTAAAGTGGGGGATGGGAGACATTGTAATACTGTCAACAACAAAATAAAATAAAAAAGATTGAGTCCAGCCGCTGTGGCTCCGTTGGTTGAACATCGTCCCATGTACCAAGGGGTCGCCAGTTCAATTTCCGGTCAGGCCACAGGCCTGGGTGCAGGTTCGAACCCTGGTTAGGGGCATGCAGGAGATAGCCAATGGATGTTTCTCTCTCCCTCTCCCTCTCTTCCCGTCTCTCTAAAATCAATAACAAAGAACATATTCCAAACAAAATGAAAATAAATTATTCAAAGAATCATCAATGAACACTAACACTGGATGCAAAACTATTGAAAATAGGATATTCCCAGTCTCAAATATCACCCCACAGATTACTTGTTAATTACAAAGGGGAAAGGGTATCTTTACAAGGGAGAAATCTCACATTTTAATTATCTAATTCAAATCATCAATAATGGGACAAACTGGTATTGAGTACCTTATTATACCACTGACATAATAAGGAAAACACACTTTATATAAAGAATTCCTGACAAAAATGTTTAACCTGGATCCAATTATAAGGAGACCATTAGACAAATCCAAGTTAAAGGATATTCTGCAAAATACTGGCAGTCGATCAATGTTTCTCTCTCTCATCAGTTTCTCTCTCTTTCTTCCTCCCTCTCTCTAAAAATCAATTTTTAAAAAAGGTTAAATATGGAGTTACCACAGGACTCGGTATTTCCACTCATTATATGCCCTATGTCCATCAAATACCTGATGTAGAACTGTGCACCTGAAACCTGTATAACTGTGTTAACCAGTGTTGACCCAATAAATCTAAAAATAAAAAAATACTTTTATACCAACATTCATAAAAACATTCATTATTCGTAATAGCCAAAAGTGGCAATAACCTAAATATCCACCAACTGATGAAGAGATAAACAAAATGTGGTATATCCATATAATATTATTCAGCCATAAAAGGAATGAAGTACTGATACATAATACAATATAGATGAACCTCGAAATCATTACAGTGAGAGAAATCAGTTACAAAAGATCACATATTGTATGATTATACAGTAAACCCTCGACTTTGCAGACTTCAATTTAAAAGACTTTCGATTTAACAAACAAAATTTCCGGTCCACACGTCATATGCAAAAATTAATGCCCTGTTAATTTGAAAATACTTTTAACCTATATTTGCTTATAATTAAATTAACAGGTCATTTTCATGTTATTAATTCACTGTTATTTTCAACAAATTTAGGCAGATAGGCCAAATGTTGGGAAAAACTGTAGTAATTTCACATAACTAAATATTACACATCTACAACTATAGTCTACATATTTATATCTAAGAGTCACCACTAGTAAACAATGGTCAGCAAATGATTAGCACATGATCACACCACATTGCAAGTGGTAATTGGTTCTGTTGTTGGATGGCATGACTTTCTGCAGCAGTTTTAATGCATGCTAGCCAATGTTCTAGCATTTATTTACTCGCAGTGATCTATTCAATATAAATTTTTAATTGCTGTAATACATATAGAAAACTTCTACATGAAATTAAAATTTTCATACATAACTTTAAATTCACAAATTATCTACATCAGTAAAAACAGGTAAACTAATTTGTCAGTTTTGTTAACATGCATTCGGAAAACCTACTCTATTATATAACGAACTTTCAGTTTTAACAGATACCCCGCGTCTGAATTAGTCCGTTACATTAAGGTTTTACTGTATTTATATGAAATGCCCAGAAAGAAAAAAATCTAGAGAGACAGAAAATAGATTAGTGGTTGCCCAGGGCTAGAAGTTAGGGTAGGGAAGGGAAGTGACTGCTAATGGCACACAGAGTTTCCTCTTAGGGTAATAAAAATGTTTTAAAACTGATTTGTGGCAATGGTAGCACAACTCTGAATTTAGGAAAACCCACTGAATTGTACACTTTTTGTTGCTGCTGTCAATCCTCACCAGAGGATATTTTTTCCATTACCTTTTAGAGAGTGGCAGGTAGGAAGCGGGGGAGAGAGAAACATTGATGTGAGAAACATCGATTGGTTGCCTCCCACATACACCCCTACTGGGACCAGGAATCAAACCCACAACCCTTTGGTGCATGGGCCCACACTCTAACCACTGCTCAGGGCTGAATTGTACACTTTAAAAGGTGAATTGTATGGTATGTGAATTATATCATAATAAAGCTGTTATTTTAAAAAACATAACTACAAAGGACACATTATTAGGATACCTGGGGAAAATTAAAGAGAGAGACTATAAGTATCAGTATTGTTATCAATGTTAAATGGGGTGTGACAAATTAGTCATATCCTTACTCTTAGGAGATACTGGCTAAAGTATTTATGGCTGAATCATCATAATTCTATAGCAAAAACCAAATGTTTATGTACATACATTCATTGTGTGCCTGTGCTTTGGGAAAGCAAGAAAAAGCTAAAGTGGCAATATACTGATAACAAGTGATCCAAGTGAAGGATGTACAGGTATATTCTGTACTATTCTTGCAATGTTTCTGTCATCTGAAATTTTTCAAAATAAAAACTTGGGAGAAATATCAAAGAATAAAGTTTAGACTTATACAGACAAATAACAACTACCTAGCCTTTGGGAATGCTATTGTTTTTAAACACAGTATTTTACCCTCAGTAAAAAATCACTATCCTTTGTACGACAAGATACAGACCACCACTTCATCTATAATAATCTACACTAATAAAAGGAAAACATGCAAATTGACCATCCCTCTGCTACACCCACCAGCCAATCAGGGCAAGTATGCAAATTAACCCAACAAAAATGGCGGTGGCCACGGAACTGGAGGCTTGGGTTGCCCCTGGCGACAGAGGAAGCCAAGCTTCCCGCCTGCCCTGGCTGCTACTGAAGGAGGGGCTGGGGCCCTGGGTCTCCGGGGGTCGTGGCCAGCCTGAAAATGGCCCTCAGCCCCTCACCCAGGCTGGCCAGGCACCCCAGTGGGACCCCCTATCCTGAAGGGGCTCTGGCCAGCCTGAAAATGGCCCTCAGCCCCTTACCCACAGGCCAGCAGGGGGGCAGTTGGAGGCGAGCAGGCCAGTGGGGAGGGAAGATGGGGGCAAACAGGCCAGCAGGAAGGGCAGTTGGGGGTGAGCACACTGGCACAGGGGGCAGTTGGGGGTGAGCAGGCTGGCAGGCAGAGTGGTTGGGGCAATCAGGCAGGCAGGCAGGAGAGCAGTTGGGAGCCAGCAGTCCCGGATTGTGAGAGATATGTCCGACTGCTAGTTTAGGACACATGCCTCGGTTGCTGGCTCAATCCCCGGTATGGGGAGAGGAGGAGGCAGCTGATCTATGGTTCTTTCTCATCATTGATGTTTCTATCTCTCTCTCCCTCTCCGAAATCACTAAAAAGATATTAAAAAAAAAACACAGG